TTATGGTTTTATAATTCTATTCTAGCCAACGGCCGTACCATGCTGAATATGCGGTTCTCGTTAGATCACCGAAGTTAAGCATCATTGGGCGCGGTCAGTACTTGGGTGGGTGACCACCTGGGAACACTGCGTGCCGTTGGCAAATTTGGGACCTGAATGGCCGAGTGTCTAGCGCTCTGGCGCTCGGTGCCACAGGTTTCGGGTTCGAATCCCGGCGGTGCCATGGATGTTTGTAGTGGTTCGGAATCCACTTTAAGCCGTAGGTCCCGGTCTTCTATGACTGTAAGAGCGTCACGGGGCAAAAGTCAGGCTTCTACCTACGGGTGCTCCATCACAACAGAAGCTGCTTCCTTCCCCTTCAATCATGAGTCCATATGGGCTCGTGGGCTTGGCTTGCCAAGTGGGATAGAAAACAACAACAACATAATTTCTATTCTTAACTATTATATCTTATCTCTAACTCAATTCTTTGTAATTTATTACAGAATCCCTTTTCCTACCAGTACATTTCACTTGACAACAGAGCCGAGAAAAAATTTACTCGAAATACTGGTGGCAAAATCAAAGAGGGCAGATACATTTATTACTAAATAAGAAATTTTGGCTACTAAACATGTCACGGCACTTCAAATTACGGAATTCCTAATTATATGATAATAATAAGATGGTAATTTCCTCTATTATTATATCTCTAATTCAATTTTCCCTATTATGGTTTTATAATTCTATTCTAGCCAACGGCCGTACCATGCTGAATATACCGGTTCTCGTTAGATCACCGAAGTTAAGCATCATTGGGCGCGGTCAGTACTTGGGTGGGTGACCACCTGGGAACACTGCGTGCCGTTGGCAAATTTGGGACCTGAATGGCCGAGTGTCTAGCGCTCTGGCGCTCGGTGCCACAGGTTTCGGGTTCGAATCCCGGCGGTGCCATGGATGTTTGTAGTGGTTCGGAATCCACTTTAAGCCGTAGGTCCCGGTCTTCTATGACTGTAAGAGCGTCACGGGGCAAAAGTCGGGCTTCTACCTACGAAGAGATTTGCTCCATCACGATCGACCTTCGCTTCCTTCCTTCAATCATGAGTCCATATGGGCCGTAAGGCTTAACTTGCCAAGTGGGATAAGAAACAACAACAACATAATTCTATTCTTAACTATTATACTTATCTCTAACTCAATTCTTTGTAATTTATTACCGAATCCCTTTCCCTACCAGTACATTTCATGACAACAGAGCCGAGAAAAATTTACTCGAAATACTGGTGGCAAAATCAAGAGGGCAGATACATTTATTACTAAATGAAATTTTGGCTACTAAACATGTCACGGCACTTCAAATTGCGAATTCCACTGAAATTATATGATAATAATAAGATGGTAATTTCCTCTATTATTATATCTCTAATTTCAATTTTCCTATTATGGTTTTTATAATTCTATTCAGCCAACGGCCGTACCATGCTTTAGATATACCGGTTCTCCGTTAGATCACCGAAGTTAAGCATCATTGGGCGCGGTCAGTACTTGGGTGGGTGACCACCTGGGGTACACTGCGTGCCGTTGGCAAATTTGGGACCTGAATGGCCGAGTGTCTAGCGCTCGGCGCTCGGTGCCACAGGTTTCGGGTTCGAATCCGGCGGTGCAATGGATGTTTGTAGTGGTTCCGGAATCCACTTTAAGCCGTAGGTCCCGGTCTTCTATGACTGTAAAAGAGCGTCACGGGGGGCAAAGTCGAGGCTTCTACCTACGGGTGCTCCCATCACAACAGAAGCTGCTTCCATCACATACTCGTGGGCAGAAGCTGCTTTCTTAACTTCCCCTTCTTTGTAATTTATTACGAATCATACATTTCATGACAACAAAAGTCCATATGGGCTCGTGGGCAACATTTGCTACTAAACATGTGGGATTCCTAATTATATGATAAACAAGATGGTGTTTCTATTATTATCTAATTCAATTTTCCCTATTATGGTTTTATAATTCTATTCTTAACTATTATACTTATCTCTAACTCAATTCTTTGTAATTTATTACGAATCCCTTTCCCTACCAGTACATTTCACTTGACAACAGAGCCGAGAAAAATTTACTCGAAATACTGGTGGCAAAATCAAGAGGGCAGATACATTTATTACTAAATAAGAAATTTTGGCTACTAAACATGTCACGGCACTTCAAATTACGAATTCCTAATTATATGATAATAATAAGATGGTAATTTCCTCTATTATTATATCTCTAATTCAATTTTTCCCTATTATGGTTTTATAATTCTATTCTAGCCAACGGCCGTACCATGCTGAATATACCGGTTCTCGTTAGATCACCGAAGTTAAGCATCATTGGGCGCGAATCAGTACTTGGGTGGGTGACCACCGCAGAACACTGCGTGCCGTTGGCAAATTTGGGACCTGAATGGCCGAGTGTCTAGCGCTCTGGCGCTCGGTGCCACAGGTTTCGGGTTCGAATCCCGGCGTGCCATGGATGTTTGTAGTGGTTCGGAATCCACTTTAAGCCGTAGGTCAGTCTTCTATGACTGTAAGAGCGTCACGGGGGCAAAAGTCAGGCTTCTACCTACGGGTGCTCCATCATCACAACAGAAGCTGCTTCCTTCCCCTTCAATCATGTAGTCCATATGGGCTCGTGGGCTTGGCTTGCCAAGTGGGATGAAAAACAACAACATAATTCTATTCTTAACTATTATACTTATCTCTAACTCAATTCTTTTTGTAATTTATTACAGATCCCTTTCCTACCAGTACATTTCACTTGACAACAGAGCCGAGAAAAATTTACTCGAAATACTGGTGGCAAAATCAAAAGGGGCAAGATACATTTATTACTAAATAAGAAATTTTGGCTACTAAACATGTCACGGCACTTCAAATTACGAATTCCTAATTATATGATAATAATAAGATGGTAATTTCCTCTATTATTATATCTCTAATTCAATTTTCCCTATTATGGTTTTATAATTCTATTCTAGCCAACGGCCGT